AGTCGTACGTGTCTACGTACAAGTACGACATAAATATATATTTTTTAGTAAATAATTAAAGTTGTTTGAATGTTTTACAATCACTCTTAAGTTTATGTTAAACACAACAGAACAACGTTACTTTGCGTTCATTGCAATTAATTATTATTACAATTTGCATACAATTTGTTTTGTTTCCAGCATAGATGAACCACAGATAATTAAAAGTTTCCAATTTTGACGTAATGATATTTTCATAGATAGCTGCTAGAAAACCAAATTCCAAAAGTCGATAGTCTACAATATTCCGTATAGGTAATATATATGGGTGATATTATTAAAAATTATTAGCATTAAAAAGTTCGAAAGGAAAATTCATCATGGTTAACGTAATTTGTGAAGAAGTGAATCCATTCGATGAGTGGGAAGAGCTTTCCAGCGATTATAAAGAATTGGAGGCTACTAACAAAGTGTATCAAGAAAAAATGGAAGAACTTTCCTCATATCAAAAGCAATGCCAAAAGCACATCACGCATCAGCGTTATCGCATTGGAATTATTTCAAAAAATTTAGCTAAGTTAAAAAAATACCAGGACTCTAATTTCAAAAGGATAGAAAACTTGGAAAATAATATAGCAAAACGTACTGCTCAGCTATATGAAATAGAACAAACTTTACCAAAACAAAACGGGCTGTATTTAAAAATTATCTTGGGAAATGTAAATGTGTCTATTTTAAACAAGGAGGAGAAGTTTAAGTATAAAGATGAATATGAAAAATTCAAATTAGTGTTAAGTATAATAGCATTTATTATATCTGTAATTAATTTGTTTACAAGATTCAGACCATTAGAACTATCATTTATGTTCTTACTGGTGTGGTATTATTGCACTTTAACGATTCGTGAGAGCATTTTAAAAATTAATGGTTCAAGAATTAAAGGTTGGTGGAGATTTCATCATTTTCTATCTACAGCTGCCTCTGGAATCTTATTAATTTGGCCTGACAATGAGACATGGACATTGTTTAGGAATCAGTTTATATGGTTTAACTGTTATATAAGTTGCGTACAATATTTACAATTCCGATATCAAAGAGGAGTATTGTACAGATTAAAAGCTCTGGGAGAGCGGTACAATATGGATATTACAATTGAGGGCTTTCATTCATGGATGTGGAGAGGATTAAGTTTTCTGTTACCATTCCTTTTTATTGGTTATTTTTTCCAATTGTATAATGCATATACCTTGTATAAGCTTAGCAAAATGCCCTCTGCAACTTGGCATGTAACAGTCCTCTGTATTATGTTTTTTATTCTGTTTGCGGGAAATGTTGTTACAACTATTATGGTGATTCCAATCAAATTTAAGCAGGCTCATATACTATTCAAAACCAGGAATTCCAATAATGTTAAGGTCGAAGAGCAAGCTGTAAGTGAAGAAAAAACATATGTTGAGAAGAAAGTAGAGAAAAAGGAAGATTAATTCGTCAAATTTTTATTTATATCAATTTATAAAGCGCATTTTTTTTAACGTTTTCTTTCTCTAACAGGTTGCATTTTAATGTCTTTCACATTAAATTTTTTCATTTATGTAAAAATGTAAATATTATGTAATTGTAATTATAAAATACAATATGAAAGACGGTTTACTATTTTTAAAGAAAATCAAAAATTAAAATGATAGCGTTGCATACTTTAAATGCCATCAAGATAAAAAAAAAAAGTTCCACGTATAATAAGCCTACAGAATCTATAGAAAGGTCAAATTGTTAAACATTCACTTTTACTAATAGTTTGCGACTAATTAATTAATTATTAGTAACTAATTTATTAATTGAAAACTTAGCTAAGCTTTTTCATAAATGAATTTTAAAATAGTCTCTTGTATATGCAGACGAAAGTGTATTTGTGAATGAATTATTACATCATATCTATGGTCTGTTATAATTCTCTATGGTTATAATAAACATTCTATGATAAAATATAACCTCACTTACTTCCACGTCTTCTATGATTTGTGTTTTAATCATTAATCAATCGTTAATTAAAAAGGATAAATATAAAATAACAGCTGGAATAGAACGAGGAAGGTGTGAGTGATTCTTTGGTGTCGTTTTCGTGATGTTTTAAGAAAGGATAACGTTCCTATTGATAGAACAATATCGTTAATTTATAAAATCAATAGGGTATAATGGATAGTAACTACATAAAATTAATAATTTCCGTTTTAACCGTACTTGTTACATTAAGTGAGTGTTGAATTCAACTGGTATTTTTTTTTTTTCATAAAAGTAAATTTTTAGTTTTATATGTTGTTTATCAAAGAGCAAGGAAGTCTCGTAGAAGTATTTTGTTGGTTGGATTACGAGAGAGTGGCAAGACATTAACCTTCACCCAGCTAATACATGGACAATATGTAGAAACATTTACTTCAATTAAAGAAAATATAGGAGATTATGAAACAAATAATGTAAGCTTTATATATTATATTCTTAAAAAAAAACTTTTGTGGTTAATTTTTTTAGGGCACTGTTCGTATTATTGATATTCCTGGACATGAACAGCTAAGATACAAATTCTTTGATAAATATAAATCCAATGCAAGAGCATTAGTTTATATAATTGACTCAACATTAAATTCAGCCAATTTAAGAGATACTGCAGAATGTTTATATAATATATTGTCAGACTCTGTTGTTATTAATAACAGACTACCTGTTTTGGTTCTATGCAACAAACAGGATATTTCTACAGCTTCAAATAATGATCTTTTAAAACAACAATTAGAGGAAGAATTGTAAGAATTTAAAAAATTAGTCAATAATTGTTTGATGCCCATTTTCTTTTGTAGTGCTCTCTTACGTGTTACAAAATCACATCAGTTAGAATCTGTAGATTTAAAGGCCCAGAAAAGTGCTTTCTTGGGAAGAGAAGGAGAAAAATTTAAATTTGAAGATCTGCCTATTAAAGTGTCTTTTGCTGAAACATGTGCAATATTAAAAGACAATTACTCTTCTAAAAAGGGACTGGATGATTTTAAAAAATGGCTCATAAAAGTAGCTTAGTAATAGAATTTCTTGTGAATGTATTTTCATTACTTTGTAATAAAAGGTTTTGAAAAATAAAACATGTTATTGTTTAATTTTTGATCTAATTAATAAAAAACAAAATCCGAAGTTATCATGTATTAATGTTTTTGAACAAATAATATACCTTTTTTAAGGGTAAATATTAATTTATTTGACACAATGCACGTTTACAAGGAGAAATTAATCCCTGTGTGTCGACAAGGCAAAATAACAAAAACTTACAATAAAAAAAAAATAAATCATAATAAATGAGTTCTCAAAATTAAAGTATTATCTTCCTGTTAAAAGTATATTTAAATATGTCGTCGACAAAATTCGAGTTCTAATCCATATTTTTAATTTACGTTTTGTAAAATGATTTAACGATAACGTTTTCATGGTAATGGGTAAATGATTAAATTGCGTGATTGCGGTAATATAACTACAACACATTTTCGTTAATATGCAGGCCATAGCTCATCACAAATGAGTAAAATACCATGTTAAGTGGCACTTAATATACATTCAACATTATGTAAAATCAATTGGACCTTAAGAAACTACAGCTAGGTATAACCCAGGGTATAAAGGAAACAATAAATGTACAATTCAAAAAGCAATTGTAAAAAAATTGTATAAGTAATAGCCAGTGATATCTAAGAGATTTTTATTTGCTCTCTTTTGAACAGAATAAGTTGCGAATGCATATAACAAGCATACACAATGCAGACTGTGAAGTTCCCGCCGTGTGGGACCACACAATGGACGGGCACATCGCAAGTCGTACAAAATCTCGCAATTGACAAAGCAATTTCAAAGATTTTTTATGTTGATATTCGCCATCTCATTGTATAAACATCTTCGACTTGTATTATTTATCGAAATTATACATTGAAATTTGATACTGAATACAGTATATTCACTTTCAGGATCAAAAAATTTGCTTGTTTAATAGGATCCGTTTATAAAAGGGAACGGTTAAACCATAGAATACACGTTTAAACCACTTTCAAAATATATTTTTTTAATTGTAGTAAAGGAACATTACAATCCTTTAAACTGAATCGTTCATTTAAAAGAGTGATTATCAATTTTCATGTCCGTTTCCGTTTAAAAGGGAGTAAGTCGTTAATACACTCATATTTCTTTTACCAGAAAAGGGTCTACAGAGAGTATAATTATATATATTGAGTAAAATGAAACGGCCAAGAAAAGTTTAACAATACCAATCACCTCAATAAACTAAAGTATAGTAATTAAACGCTCCAAGTATTATAATTTGCCAAAATTTCTGTGCTTTTTTTGTAGTACTTATATAATTCTTGAGTACCTATAAATTTTCATCAAGTAGAAGTTAATATATTCAAATATTTAAAAGTAAATCACAACATTAGTAGAACATTTATTTAAGAAATACAGCTACAGTACAATAAATTTAATTTTCCTTTCAAAATATATATCACTTCATTAAAAAAAAAAAAACAACCTACCAAAGTGTAACTCATATCTTTTAAAATACCAGAAATTTAATTAAACAAATACCTACAATCCTCAACCTCACTCATATACATGTTTGTTATTATATTATGTATACAAAGATATTTTTGTTGATATTGCTTAGTTTCTCTTCTTCCTTTGAGGCTCCTGCTCCTAAAACAATTACTAGACATTAATATTCTTGAAAACGAAATGAACATAGGTACATCATTTTGACACTTTTTTTTTTTAATTTACTGAAGTAAAATTATCTGTTTATACACTTTAGAGGAGTACAATAATAATCAGGACTGATAAGCTGTACTATTAGCATTTCTTTACTTCCAAAATATATAGAATTCTGTATCAGTTTATGCCTAAAAAGATAAAGTAGTAGTTAGGATCTTGGGGAACAAAGACAATACTATCAAAAATATGTCTGCACTTATTTCTGTGATGTTTCGTTCAGATTTCCTAAACCATCATTAGACAGGCTAATGGAAAATTTTAAACACAATTATATATTAGACAATAGCAGTACTTCTGAAGTCATCAGTCTATTCTCACTAGTAGGGACTACAAAAGTAATGCACTTGTTGTCTGATATAAAATTGTATGCAAAATTTTTCATTAGCCTGTTTGATGAGGATATCAATAAATCCGAACGAAACGTTGCATAAAAATACAGACATACTTTCAATAATGTTCAGTGTCTTTTTTGCTTATCAAGATTCTCATTACTACCTTACATATAAAAATTTCGTGAGTGAAAGTGGATAACTACATATTGTATTAAGTATCCTTTTCTATGGTACCCCAGCTCAAATTCTAATGTAACATTTTAGAAAAAAGTATCACTAATAAATATTTGTTCAAAAAATATGATGCCTAAAGCTGTAGAAACAGATGAAGCATTCTTACTTGCTGTAGCACAGAAAAAAATTAAAAAATAAGTAAAACTTATGTAACTATAGCAATTATATGCAGCAAATAAACAAAAAAATTTAACTGAAAATAAAATGTGAAAGGTAATTGTGTACATTTCTTAAATATTAAGTAATTAATGAAATTCATTATCTACTTAATACTTATAAACAGACTAAAAACCTTGATAAAATGATAATGCGTTTTTTTCAAGAGATTTCAATTAAAATAATATACCATATCAAAATAAAAACAAATATTATACAAGAGCAAAAATAATGAATATTGCCAAATGGCAAAGATAAACTAAAAGGTAGAAACTGCAAATAATGATAAAAACCTATTTCTTCACAACATTCAAGTACATAATTTAATTACCTTTCCTTTATTATTCATTACCTTCTGGGCTAAGATGATAAGGAGTCTGCGAAAGATTCCAATAAAGTCCACAAACAAATCCAAGGAATGTGCAACAAAATCCTTGCTACCAAAACGACGTTTCTCAATAATAAGTTGGGTGTCATATAGTACAAATCCACACATAACCAAGAGGCCAAGGTACAAGTGAACTTGGAATAAGAGAGTTGAATTGAAGAAAAGGTTTGCAAGTGTCAGAATCATCATGGTACTCAACAACGACATTAAAGTGCCACCCAAATAAAGAAATTTTCCTCGGTCTGCTAGCATTGCACAAACTGAGAATGAGACAAATATCAGAGATGTTGCAGTCAGTGCAGTGACAATGATGCTAGGATTTATATAGATGATAAATTCCAAAAGGGGCCCCAATCCTACGCCTGATAATGCAGAGAATCCCAGAAGGTATCCAATTCTAAGATGCAGTTTCTTTCCATTTTCATCTGGAGTTGACACTAGCAGCATGAAACAAATTAAACTTCCTATAGCAGAGAGAAAGCCAGCTTGTAAAATGTCTGTAAACAAGTGTATTGAAGCTCCTGCGGCGGCTGCCAATGTAGACATTGTAAGGCAGGCGTAGACATTTTTAAGATGTTGTCGAACTTCTGGCTCCCTTAAAATAATTATTAAATAATGATAAAACTATATTTAAAAATTAAGTGAAACTTACAATCGATTTTCGAAGGAATTCATGAAGGTCTGAACTGTTGGCGCCATTGTTATTTGCGATTGTCACTTTTTCCGCACCGTAACAAATTCTTCTCGAATCAAATCAAATTGCAAAAAATATATATCTTTCGAGTCTGTTTGATTTCTTATGAGCACAATCTTAACGCCTTGTTTTTATCAACGATTTAATAATAATTATGATAGTAACGTCACAACAAAAATAGCACTACGCTTGTTCTTACTTTCTATTGGTTTCTGTATTTACTGTTTCTAGATTATTTGAGAATAAACAAGATAATGACAGACGTAATCGTTATACTAACCTTATGCTGACGAAATGTCATTTGATTGGTTGATTGTCCCACGAGTTTGCGCGATGCGCGGTCATTTGCAATGGCGCAATGTGACGACATTTTATAAAGTTTAAGACAGTTTAAGATAAAACTAGAAATCAATTTTTTAATATTTTATTGGCGAACATAGAACTGTAACAGTTATAGGAGAAAAAGATTTAGATAAGAGAATAAATGAAAATTTAAAAAAAATGAATAAGTTCCATACAAAATGCATCAGGGGTTCTACAATAATAACTGCCAAGACGAAAAATACCCATAAAAACGGGAAAGTACAGCCTGATATAACTGTATGCACCCTTCTTTTTGTATATATTTATTGCAGTAGCAAAACGTAAACCTATTTTTTTTAATTTAAATTAAGATAAATTTAAATAAGTACAACACTTCAAACTTTTTTTTACTTAAGGTACAGAGCACTTGTAAGTTGTATCAACTGCACGTATACAGATTCCAGAATTTGCGCATTAAGTTCTACAGCAACATGGCAATTCTAGTAGTGAACTATGTTTAGATTATTTTATTTGGGCCGATCCTGGCGGTACTGCAATGCCAGGCCAACCCGCGACGGAGATAGAGCAAGCTCTTAAATCTCCATCAATTTCCAAAAATCAGTTTAATATACTGGCCCCGCATGCGGGGCGTATCAGATATTAAGCTGATAAGAACAGATACTACACTTTGATCTTAGCCAAAAGGCCGAGAAGCGATACCGAAAACAGTTTCTTGATGATTCCTCATAAAATAACGTTTATTTATTAACCGCCGTTTGTAAGGTTCACGCCATCTACCTTACACCAAGTAACTTACTTACGGATCGATTTTGTTCAAATCATTCATCGTCTAATTTCTTAAATAAGTAAGAGAATCTAACGGTTCTAACGGTAAAGTTGAAATCAATTGATTTATTTTATAATTTATATTTGTATTTTATAACTACGTAATGTGACTCTCAAACGGGGGGTTGTGAACTTCAAAGGGACGCGAACAATTTTTGGGAGCTCACATAAAAAATGATTACAGATCAATTAAACTATTAAACTATGACATTTTGATAAATGTACGAGGATATTTATTTAACAATTTGAATAATGCTAACTTATTGTTAACTTCATAAAGAGTACATTTTCGATGCATTTTTCGAAGATGATCTCGTATGTGACCTCAGAATTGTTCTAAAATATTAATATTTCAGAATGTCCAAATTTCAAATCCAAACAAGCCAAATGGATAACATTTGGATATTTAAATTAAAATATTCCAAAATCTTGATGTGCTAGGGTAACTAATGGGGCTAGAATTAACTGAGCGAAAAAAGATATCTCGGCTACTGCTTTGGTTGTTTTATCGTTTTATTTCAGACCAAAAATAAAATTTCTTAGTTTTGATTTTACAATTTCTGAAAATTGTGATAGATACTGAAGCAATTCTGAGGTCAGAATTGAACTCGTACGTCGCGTAAATGAAGGGTTTAGCAAAATCTCATCAAAATCCTTATTAATTACGTGAGGTCAAAAGAAAGGGGGACAAGGTTACCGGCAAAATTTTGCCAAGGGGAAGGTGGTTCAAAATTTTAAAAAAACACCCCATGCACTACTTTTTGTTCATTAGGAAACCCCCATTAATTTCGTGAACTCAAAAAGGGGGGCAAGGCTACCGACAAAATCTCATCAAGAAGAAGGGGATTTAAATTTTTAAAAAAACATCTCACGAATTACTTTCAGTTTTTCATGGTTTTCTCATAAAAGTGCCCATAAAAAAAATGCGTAATTTCTATTTTCCATTAGTTTTTTTTATCTGTAAATTACTTTGTTTTCATAAAAGGGGCGAGAAATAATAACAATTAATAAGTTTAAAAGTTTTTGAAGTTTTCTGATATGAACCCTTATTATTTGTTTAGTGCCATCTATCTTTTCATCAAGCTATTGCACACGGTTAACGTTTATCAAAATCTACGTTGCCTTTTGTTGATTGATTTAAAACTGTAAACAATGTAGATGGTTGTCATTTATTTGTTGTTTGTATGTTTAATACTACTTAGATAAACTTTCAATTATTTGTTTTCATTGTGTTACTGTTTAATGATATATTTAAAGATATATATATTTCATTTTAGTTGAAATGTTTTGCTACTTCCCGATAGAGGCCTCGTAGATGCATTTTATTTAATTATTTTGTAATAGCAAATTAGCAAATAAAAACTGTGTATATTTTTTCTCGTATGACAGTTTTTAATTTTTAAGTAATTTTTTGCATACTAATATTTCATCCACCTACATAAATGACAAGAAAATTTATGCAACATAGAAAAACTTTTTTATTTGATGTAGGGGGTAAAATTTTTATTTTTCAAATAGGGACACTCATGTTATTAACGCATTATGTGCATTTTTTTGAAACAACATCGTCAAATAGACCAATGCAGGAGAAGGTAGGAAAACAGGCGAAGTTATTTTATAACGAGTATTAAACATGAAGGATTTTCATAATCAGTTGTTCAATCAAAGCAATATTGTGGTTAAAAGTATTTCATTTATTTAAAAAAGCACAGCCGACGTTTCGCCCAGGTTGTTGGACGTTCTCAAGACTACAATGTAAGGTGTAAATTTTAATAAGAATGGGCCACATTGATCTATTTTCCAAGATTACCTGGTTATAATTTTAGTTAAAAATGTAATGCTGAAAGCGTAATAATCTGGGCGAAACGGCGGCTGTGGTTCTTTAAATAAATAAAGTACTTTTAACCCCAATATTGCTTTGATTAAACAACTGATTATGAAATGGGGGAGAACGATCAATAGAATGGATTTTTATAATTTCAATAATACACATTCGTGTAATATTCAATACGATTTAAGTACAATAACTATCACTTAGGATTAATAATACCTGTTGTTTGATTTCATACCAAATGTTGGAGCTGATTAATTTTGTCTACAGGTAAAGCAAAATGTTCACCGAATATCGAAATTACACATTTCTTTGTCAGCGTTTTTTCCTGTGTCGCACGAGGGAAACTGTCTAATTTGGGAAACGTGTGGAATATATTTTTTTAACCATGTCTATTTGAAAATATTATCCGCTTCTCTGAAAACGACCCTTAACTAACCGAATTCATAAAATATTCTGACTAAACAGTAACATCCTTCAAATTCATTAAATTTATTGGACTTACATTACTTTATTATTTATCTATACTATATGAAAAGAGGCTGAAGGTATTTGTACGAATTTTTCTTATATCACCTCCTATTTTTTAAATAGTCCAAGAGCCGGTGACATTGAAAGTGTAGTATAATCATATCAATCTTGTACAATTTAAGATTGGCTTTAATGTATTCTTATTTTTAATCAGAAGATCATTTACTCATTTCGCTTCAGTGATTCATAGTATTATCAATTTTAAAGTGACATGAAGTATTAAATATTCTGGTTCTAGTTTATATTGGATGACACTTCTATAAGTAATCATGAAAAGACCACAAATGAAATAAAAGAATGTTGTAAAGATATAAAGGTCCTTGGTCGGAAGGATTTAAGGAAATTACTTGCATGGTGGAAAATTCTTCATGAAGAATTAGCAGTGCCTGCTAAAGTTGAAGAGGTTGAAGAAAATTCCATTAAGGAAAATAACGAGAAAGAAAACCAGGAAGATGAATTTGAAGAAATTGCAAAAGAAATAACTGAATTACAGGTTTTATAAATCCAAATGATTAAATTAAATAACATACAATGCAATTTTTATTCATTAAAGGAGGAAGAGCGTAAAGAATTGAAACGTAAACGAAAAAAGACAATGAAAGAACGTAAAAAATTAAACGAACGTTTGAATTTGAAAATGGTTCTTAAAGGAGACAGTGGACCACAAATGGAAGACGACGATATGTTTAGATTGAAGCAAATTTCAGATAAAACTGAAATGAAAAAAGTGCTTGATGATGATCCTGATTTAGTTGCTGACAGTGATGACGATAAAATAAAATCTCCAAAAAGGAAATTTGAGAGGTATGAGAAAGGAGAAGGCCATTTGGACAATTCTGGATTATACTATAAAGACTCAGATTCTGAATTGGAAATGGAAACTGATGAAGAAGAGGAAGTAGACGGTGTCAAAGAAGGTTTAGGTATGACAATCTTTGTTATTTCGTCTTCTTCATTAATGTAGAATAAGCCAATTGTCCAGAATATTTTAATAGAACAGTCTAAAGTAATGAACATATACAACTAACATTAAAAGATAACTACAAATAATTAATTTTTTGAGACACTAAAAAGGAAACATTTACAGGTTTAGGTAGCGATTCTGATAGTGATGAACTAGAGGGTGAAATTGATAACAAACCAAAACGAAATAAAAAGGTCAAAGAACATCCATTAATAACTGATCTAGACTATAGAGATAAAGAAGAGAAACGCGTTCACAAAGCGAATTTGTTCTTTGAAAGGGATGCGTTTAAGGACCTTATTGGAGAAAACGAAGAAGATGCCGATTTAGATAGATTAATTAAAGTTTATAAGGAAAAGGGATCAGTCGTTTTAGGGGAGGACGATGGCACCTCGAATAAGGAAGTAAAATCTAAGAAGATAAAGGGAGAAAAACAGGCGCAAGAAAATAAGAAAATTATTCATGATGATGATTCAGATAGTGAAAGCAGCAGCGATTCTGACAGCGATTACGAAGTTTTAAAAGAAATTTCAAAGAAGAACAAGAAAAAGGAATCGGAAACAAGCGAGAAAGATGGTTTTGATATAGTTAAAGAAAAAGGTTAGTGATGAGACTTTCGATAGTGCAACTTTTGTAAAAAATATTTAAAAAAATGATATCGCCACTCACTTGAGCATGAATTTCAGTCATCATTTTGGCTCTTTGGGAATAGTCATCATAATGTTCTAATAGAAGTTTTCCTGCTTCTTCATTTAATGCTGATTCTGCATTTGGAACAATTAATAGGCATTTTATTGTCTACAAATGAATTCAGCATTACAAAATTACTAAAGTAATTACTTAAGCATTTACTTACAAGAAGTATATGTTTAATACCGAGATCTGGTTTCCAATCCCTTTTTAGTGTGTTAACGCATATCTCTCCATTTGCTGCTACATTTGGATGAAATATTTTTGTTAAGAAAAATGCTTTTGGAGGAGACTGAGGAAAATCTTTACTCAATGCCAGTTTTACACGAAATAAACCATTTACATAAGGAGTTCCTAAGCATTGAACATTCTTTTTAAGATAAAAAATACCTTCTATTAATGATTTACTTACCAGCAGGGCCTTCAATAACTGCTTGTATATCAGTAACATCTTCTTCATTGATTTGAACTTTTATTCCTTCAGGTGGACAGCCTACTAATTCCTGCATTTCTTTTACNATGAACAAAACTCAATATAGTTTCTCCAAATTATTTATTTTCAACACGACTATATTGTTTTGATTATTTGCGATTATTATTAAGACTGCCAATTTTGTATAAACTACAAGTTATACAGAAGGAGTGGGGAAGTCGTGGAGAATACTTCAATCTGGTTATTGATTAAATTCAAATTGTTTTGTACATCTTTTTTAAATTACAAGATTTTCCAACATTAATTACTTTTTACTTTTGTCGATACTACGGGAGTATTGAAAATTGATGCAGTTTTTTTATATTCTTTTTATCTGTCTTGTGCTTCTTAAATGTGTCTACTTCCTCTCACAAAAAATGGTGTATAACAATTACTTTGTAGTGATAATGATGCACCTAACAATTGAAAGAAATGGTAGTGCTGTAGATATGTTTAAAAAAGTACATTTAAGATAGCCAATTGTAGTTGAATTGGAAAAATACTGCAATTATTTTCGACACTTCGACAATGTACGAATTCTCATCCTCAATTAGTTTTAAGACAGCATACTATCGAAACAATATTGTCAAATGCTAGAAATAATTAATTTAGTAAAACTAAGTAACTATTTCAGTAACTGATGATGATGCTTAGAATGCCCCATATACGTAAATAATTATTTTATCGCAGGTGAATAAAATTACCCAAATAGAGATTTGTAATAATTTTGTACTTTGGCTTTTCCAAATTAATACTACTTCCATACATATAAAAAGCAAAATCAAAGGAGCCCTGCCTGGCCGTGTGTTTTAACATTTATCAAAAAGGTTGTAGTTGTCGCATATAAAAAAAAAAATACATTGTGACCGTAGTAAAGTTTAAAATATTAAAAATGAACTTGTCTTTTCATAGAGTTATTTTTTTATAAAAGCTTAGTTAATGAATCAGGTTACTGTAAGTGACAACAATTTATTTTAAATTATAGGCAAATTGGGCAAACGAAAACTTACAGAAGAAGAATTGGCCTTGGGAACGATGATGATAAATAGTAGAAAAACTAAACGTGATATTGTAGACGCTGCATGGAATCGTTATAGTTTTAATGATGTGGGTTTGCCTGATTGGTTTGTTGATGATGAATCGAAGCACATGAGGAAAGAAACTCTGGTACCCAAGGTGATAAAGAAAACGGATTTAAATTGTATTTGTATTAACGTACTAAATCATATTTTAGGAATTAGTTGATGAATATTCATCTAAATTGCAAGACTTAAATGTGAGACCAATCAAGAAAGTCATTGAGGCTAAAGCAAGGAAGAAGAAGCGCGTGATTAAAAAATTGGAAAGGGCAAAGAAGAAAATAGAAGCGATAATGGAAAATGTAGATGTTAGTGATAAAGAGAAGGCGAAACAAATTAATCAGTAAGTTACAAATGTATTGTGGAACATCATCTGTATAAAATTAATAATTTCTTTACTGTCTGTGTATGTATTAAAAAAATTGCTGAATTAAATTATAAAATTTTAGTGTTCTGAATCAAAATAGGAACGCCTGAGTGTAATTCATTTATTTGACGTTTCTGTGTTTTTAGATTGTATAAGAAAGCGAAGGCTGGACAGAAGAAGGAAGTAACTTATGTAGTTTCCAAGAAAGCAACTGCTTCTAAAAGGCCCAGGAAACCGGCTGGAGTTAAGGGTCCTTATAAAATGGTTGATCCTAGAATGAAGAAAGACACTAGAGCACAGCAAAGAACTGTGAAGAAAGGCAAAAATAAAATAAAAAAGCCCAAAAATCCGAAGAAAAAGAAAACAAAACAATGATATAGCCAATTTATATTAATTATATTAAACAGAATAAAAATGTTATTTCCACTGTTTTTTTTTTGTTTATTTAAATTCGCTACATGGACACAGTAACGAATGTAGGTATTTTCTATAGACATATTCTATACTGTTTTTTATTCAAATGTAATACTCTTGTCTGTCATATATCAGTTTCTTTTTTTATAAAAATAGTTTCTTCTTCAAGTGTGCAGGTCGAAGGTGAAGGCTGTTGCTGGTAAATCAATTTTTTAATATTTTATTGGCGAACATAGAACTGTAACAGTTATAGGAGAAAAAGATTTAGATAAGAGAATAAATGAAAATTTAAAAAAAATGAATAAGTTCCATACAAAATGCATCAGGGGTTCTACAATAATAACTGCCAAGACGAAAAATACCCATAAAAACGGGAAAGTACAGCCTGATATAACTGTATGCACCCTTCTTTTTGTATATATTTATTGCAGTAGCAAAACGTAAACCTATTTTTTTTAATTTAAATTAAGATAAATTTAAATAAGTACAACACTTCAAACTTTTTTTTACTTAAGGTACAGAGCACTTGTAAGTTGTATCAACTGCACGTATACAGATTCCAGAATTTGCGCATTAAGTTCTACAGCAACATGGCAATTCTAGTAGTGAACTATGTTTGGATTATTTTATTTGGGCCGATCCTGGCGGTACTGCAATG